TCTGGTTAAGACGCGATAAATCGATCCCGGATCGATCCCGGAAGTGCTCACTGTCGGCGCTGGTACTCCAGCTCGCCGAGAGGAGTACGCGGCATCGACGGGGGGAGACTTCCTGCCGCGTCTGGACCGCGGTAAGTTCAGACTAAGGTACTTCGAATTCAGCTACGTTATTAACGTAGCTGAATTTGCGTACCTTAGTCCGATTTGGGGACTTAGTGTGGACCAGGCCTTAGGCTCTGAGGCAGAACTCCTTTCCAAAGTTGTCCTTCCATCCCAGCTAAACAGATGAACTTCTCCACCTGACTCCCACAACTGACCCCAGCCACCAGTTCGCCACCTGTGACTCCCTCCTCAACCCCCCCACCTGCCCCATGTCCCTCTGCACAGGATCTCACTGGTTTCTTTACAGAGAAAATGCACAAGATCAAACATAACCTCACCCCTCCATCCCTTCCAAAAGTTACACCTCTTCTCTCCTCCTCCAATCCCTCCAGCTGCGCCCACACCTATCCCCTAATCTCCCTCACCCAACTCTCATCCCTCATGCACCCTTCTCTTTAACTAACCTCCCCCTCTCCTCCAACCCTTCCCCTCTCCATACCAACATGGCTTTGTGCCAGCCAGGGGCTGTCCCACCAGCCTGTCCTGCAGGTGTCTTCCTGCTCCCTGAAGCTCTCCTTAGCTGAGGGACTTGCTGGCCAGGCTTTTATTAGGACAAGGAGATCTTTAAGCTGTCACCTGATCCCTGGCCTCAGCATCAGCTGATTAGTCACAGGGTGGGGCTGGGCCCAACTCCCCTTAAAAGACCAGACACCCTGTGACACTTAGTCTCTCCCATCTTCACACTTTCCATCCCTGACCCCAGTTCCCTGTCTACTAATTGCCCCTTCTGTCTTCCATCTCTAAGCTCAGTGAACGCTTGGTCTACAATCGCTGTCTGGAGTTCCTCTCCTCCAATTCCATCCTAGACCCTCTCCAATCCAGCTTCTGTCCCCCGCACTCCCCTGAAACCGCTCTCACCAAAGTCTCCAATGACCTTCCTGGCCAGATCCTATGGCTTCTGCGTGATCCTCGTCCTCCTTGTTCTAGCTTCATGCTCCTCCTTCTGACACCACTGACCAGAGCACTCGTCTCCATTAAATCCTTGCTTTCACAGCTCCATCCTCTTCCAGTTCTCTTCCTGCTTCTCTAATTGCTTCTTCGGTGTCTGTTTTGTTGGGTCAGTCTCTTCCTGTCTCCCTCTTTCAGAGAACACCCCCCAGAGCCCAGTGCTTGGCCCCCTGCTCTCCTCTCTCCACACCCTGCCTATAGTAGCTCTTACCTACACACATAGCTTCAGATACCACCTCAGTGCCAATGTCTCTCAAACTCCTTCTGCACTAAAGACTGTTCCCCCTCCATCCCATACCATATCTGGCCTGTCTGACATCTACTTATCAATGTCCAGAGGGCAACTTGGGTTCAACAGCTGAGTGTTTAATCTCTTCTGAACCCCTCAGAGCCTTCCTCACTTCCTAGTTTCTTCATCTCTTTGGATAACATCGTAAACCCTCCCAGAGGCAGGGGGCTGTGACAGCTCTCCCTCCCTCCCTGCCTCCCATACCACACAGTGGGCTGCCCCTGAGCTAGGTACCAGGATCTCTGCCCCTCCTGTGGTCCAGACATTGTAGCCCTGAGGTGAGGTGTGAGGCTTGAGCTGACTGGAAGGAGCCCAGAGTGGAATGGGAGGCCTGGGGTCTGAGCCCTGCTCGAGGTGGCTCCTTATGGGAGGGTACCAGGAGTATTTTCCCTGCCCTGGCTGGGAGAACCGCTCCATGATGTTGGCCTGGGTTGAGAGTTGGGCGGGCAGGAGAGGTAGGGCAGAAAAAACTGTCCTGTAATTTTGAAATACAGTGTTGTCCACCCTAAAAATACCTCCATCCGCCCAGTCACTCAGGCCAGAAATCTGGGCATTGTCTCTGACTCAGCCTCTCGCTGGGCACTCACGTCCTGACCTCACCCCAGTCTCCCTGCTCCTGCACGTATAACACATCACAGATACAGCTTCTTGTGTCTGTCCTGACAACCCAGGCTCTCGTTCACCTCATCACCTCACACCTCCACTGCTGTGATCTCCTCCTGTCTGGCCTTGATGCCAGCCGCTTTGTCCCCTCAGCTCCATCCAAAGCACTGCTGCTAGGCTCAGCCCTCAGGCTCGTCTCTCCTGCCACATACACCACTTAGTTCCACTGAGGCCCCCTCCAGCACCGCTCCAGCACAAGCTCCTTGTCTTTGCCTTTAGGTCCCTCACCAGTTAGTCCCACCCGGTCTGAGCGATTGGCGCCACCGTCCCTCTGCCAGCGATGGCAGCCTGCAGGGCCAGTTCTAGGGGTGGGCGCACAGGGTTGTCACCCTCAGCACCTCTTTCAGGGGGAACCATATTGCCACTGGGCTTTTTGTTTCTGCTCCTGGCAGCCTAGGTAGGGTGACCAGGTAGCAAGTGTGAAAAATCATGCCTTTTTTTTTTGCAGTAGGGCGTATAGTTGCATATATAAGACAAAGCCCCTAATATTGGGACAGTCCGGATAATATTGGGGTGTCTCATCACCCTCAGCCTGGGTCACTCACCTGTCTGCTTCTCCCTTAAACACCTCAGTGTTTTCTTCCGCTCCCTTTCCATGTACAGAAAAACATCCGCTCAGTATTAGTAAAGCTGCCCCCTTCTCTCTTCAACCCTGCTCCAAACCCAGCTGTGCTGTGGCCCCTGGAATCTCTCCCATCTGGCATTGGGCACGGTGTGAGCTGGGCTTTGGTTTGTTTTTATCATTATCTCCCCCTCCCAACCCCTTCACCCCACTTGTCTATTTCATCCCCCGTTGTACCCTGTCTGCCATGCAGAGGGTGAGCTCCCTGGGCCAGGGACTGTTGCTTTGTTAAATGCAGTTTGTGTGGATAGAAGGGGGACTGTGGGTGCGTATGGGAGCCATAGAAGAGGCATTAATAGTGGCAGGATATAATGAGGCCTGAGAGAGAGATTGTGCTGCAAGGATGGAGAGAAAAGGGCAGATACAGGAGATAACACTCAAGAAGCAGCAGCAGTGTTTGGAAATGGCCTGGGTGTGCAGAGGGAGGAACCAAAAATAACCACAACGCTGTGGGCACTGAGATTTGGCCAGAATGATCACTAAGGACCCCAGTGAGAGCAGTCTGAGTGGAGTGGAAAGTCAGACTGGAAGGGATCTAGGACAGCTGGAGACACAAGCATTGTTTGCAGAATGGGTTCCCTGAGTTCAGAGACAAAAGGGAGGAGGGAGATGGGGCAGCAGTTAGAGGGGTGGGTGGGGAAGAGGAGATTTGTTACAAAAGTTAGACTGGGGCACAAATATTTGCAGGGTCAGGCCCAGAGACTGTAAACTCTTTGGAGTAGGGATTCTGTCTTCTTACAGTCTGGAGTGTGTGTGCACAGGTCCTAGCACAGTGGGGCCTGGCCCTGAGTGTGACCTCTAGATGCAATTGGAATGCAAATAATAATGTGCAGTGGAGCAGGAGACTGGCCATGGGATATGGAGGTATGACATTGGGTGGGGCTTAAAGGTAGGTTTGCCAACCCTCCAGGATTGGCCTGGAGTCTCCAGGAATTAAAGGTGTGTGTGTCGGTGCAGAGGACAGGGGCCAAAGAGGGACAGTTGGGGAGGGTTTCGGGGATCAATATAGGAGGGACAGAGAGTAGTGATATGGAGCCAAGAAGCCCTGCTCTCTGGTCCAGGTTTACCTGTGCAGTGTCTGAGGTGTATAACATAGTACATGTAACAGCTGGGGCAGGACAGGATGGGTCCCTGCCTCCATAAGAGACCGGCTGCATTACATTTTGTTAACTCCCGATGTCTTTTACTTTCCAGGGGAATACGAGGCAGTGAAAGGTACGTGTGTTTTTACTAGTTTTGATTATGCTTTAAATTGGAAAAGGAACACTCAGAGCTGTGTGTGCAAAGAAATGTTAGTGTAAAAAATTAATGTGTTACTGTTACAGGTAACGTACATGACAATGAGAAATCCAGATATTACCCAGAAATAATGGATGGAAAATTTGTGGTATTGAAATATGAATATTAACTACAGTTGCCAATGGCACAATACCATACACTCTTGCCCGACCCAGGGCCGGCACTAGGTTTTTTGCTGCCCCAAGCAAAAAAATGTTTGGCTGCCCCCACCCCAGCCCTAGGCTACCCCCTGCACCCTCCTGCTGCCCCAGCCCTGGGCTCTCCCTCCCACCCACACCCCCCTGTCGCCCCAGCCCTGGGCCTCCCTTGTCCCCCAC